GCTGCGCCGCGAGGGCGGGCGACTCCCTTCCCGAGGCGGCGAAGATGAGCGGCGAGTCCGTAGTGGGGGTAGGTGGAGGGAGGAGAGGAGTTGGAGGCAGAGGAGGCGGCGCGTACAGCAAAGCCCGCGATCCCCACCCCCATCTTCGCGGTGATGCTGACGCTGGCGGCGCGGTACGCCGCGGAGAGGTGCAGCAGCTCGTCAATGACGACGGGGTACAGCTGCCGGTCCTTCTCCGCGGGTCCGGAGTCTGTAAAAGAGAAGCCCGGCGTAAAGGTGTGGAGGTGGAAGTTACCGAGGAGGGACTGCTTTCATCGAGGACGGGAGTTATCCTTCGTGTCGAGCGGTAGAATAGGCGTAGTTAGCACAATCAGTGTGTATTCTCAGCGGGGGAGCGGAAATAAGACATACCACCCGCGCCAAATCGCCCTCGAGCTCCTTGACGACGCGCGAACACGAGAAGCTGCGGTTGGTCATGATCATGTCGAGGACTGCCCAGCATCACATGCTCGCGCGATCCCACCCCGACGTCGGGTGCTCGCTCGGGGCCGGGTTGTCGCGCTGTCGGTCGTGGTCGATGTGGTACTGCAGTAGAGACTCTGCAGACGTCGCTTTTTTAATGCCGTAGCTTTGAGAACGCGTTGAGGTTGAACCCGTGGAAGTGCATGTGGATGCGTCCAGTCAGCAGGAAGTAAGAGCAGAGCCAACTGAGGGAGCCTGTTACATAGGTAGCGTAGCGTGTGGGAGGACGCGAGCGCGCTTGGCGCTGGAGACGGCGGGCGACGATAGCACATACCGCTCGAAGGGCGACAATCGTGGGGAGAGCCTGTGTTATCTGGGGTAGGATCAAGAGATTGTATTGATTCCATAGAATACCTGGACGTGGGTGGGAGGACAGCGGATGGAAGTCTGTATACAGCGGCGACTCCGAGTGATTTGCGGTGATTCGAAGGAGGGCGGTGCAGGATGAACTCGGAGGGAGACTAGAATGGAAGGGAGATATATGGTTATGTCGGCGCCGTGAGCGCGCATGTGCAGGGTGCCTGCCGAGCCGGCGGGAGAATCGTGATTCGAAGGTGAGCGAGAGGCGTTGGGAGGACGAGAGAACCTGGAGTGACCGCCAAACACCAGACAGGAACGCGGCGGGTGGGGTAGATAGAATAGAGTTACGGAGAACCGCCAACAGCTTTCCCCGCGCGGACGACGCCAACAAGCGGGATTGATCGCTCCTGCCAAAGTAATGCCATCAATTCGCGTTTTGTTCCGCTCGGCGTCCGCCGATTTCCGCGGCGCCTACGAGGATATTCAAACTGAACTGGTCCTGGTTGAATGGTTGAGGCAAGATTGACTCCGATGAGAATTGTGGCTGTGGATTCAAGTTCCAACATGAGGGGACTCGGAAGAGATCGACCTTGGATTGGGTTTGGAAACGAGAGAAAGGCAGCATGTGCTGCAAATCACAAATGAACACGCAAAAAAGCGACTGCGTTAGATCAGTTTCGTGGCCCAGCCTGGAATCGAACCAGGGCCTCCTGCTAGCTCACAACGCCATACGCAGACAGTCACTGGTCTGGAGTGTGTAACCATCTGCCACAGGGTCTCGTTTATCCTGACATGATTGAATGGGATGTGGCTTCCGAGGACTCCGCTTCAATTTATTAGAGGACTATGGAGGCAAAGAAAGTTGAATAGCTGGAATTAGCAAAATTAGACTAACTAGGACCTCCCGCTGGTATTTTGCCTCTGGATCCAGACAGCGCAGGCGCGGTACAGTCCGCTACTGGGTCTCATTCCAGCAGCGCGCAGCCTCGTTGAGTGGGTGAGCGCGGGAGAATCGATGGTCGAACGCCAAGGAAGGAGGAAAAATGCTGCGCCCAGGAACATGGGTTGACCCAGTCTGAAGCCGAATCAGGATCTTCCGCCGGTGAATCTATAAGTGCCGGATAATTAGTGATGAACGAGCACCGGGGGAGAAAAAGAAAACCAGGAAAGACTACCCATTCTGGAAACGAACCAGGACCACTTTTGAACGTTATGCACAGCGCGGGCGCGGACTGTGTGCTCTTGAGTCTGATTGCAGTAGTGGAGAGTCCCCAGGTGAGATGCTGGAGGAGGGCTGATTGGCGGCGGTTCTGCCGTTTGTGCTCGCGTTTCTGTCGGAGAATGATGCCGATGAATAAGCGAGCGCTTTAGATGGGGTGCGTATCAAGGGCTAGTATCCGACCACCGGTGCGACCAAGTAATTGAAGTCCGCGGGGACGAGCGGAGGACGACGGCGTGCGGGGGAGGTGAAGCGGTTGTCTGGACGATGCTTCTTGAGATTATATCGATGCACTAGCTGAGGACGAGGACGAGGCGCGCGTCTAAAAGCACGACCGTGGCTTGGTGCCGGGAACTACAAGTGAAGTACATATAGAACCCGAAGTGAGCGACATTCGTGGGGAACGCACCCATGTTACCTGAGTTAGCATCAAGGGATTGAATAGACATCAAGCAGCGAGCGGTGGAAGGCGACAGCAGGAGCGCTAAACACTGCGTGGAAAACCGGTCGCGGGATTATTATTAGAAAAAGGAATCGACACGAACGGAGCGCAAAAGAATGGAAGGCAGATGCTTATGCAATGTCTCATGGTTGGCGCACGCGGTGCCTGCCAAGCCGGGAGAACCGAGATTTGAAGATTGAGCCGAAGCGGGAGTGGCGGTAAAACAGCAAAAACTGTTACGAAATCCCGGTAGATGCAGTCGATAGGACATTGAAGAGAGGGATATGTACGCGTGTGAGGATCTGATCTTCCACTGATCGCTGAGCGACGGCACCAATTCGCGCGGCGGTGCCGATATCCCATGCCCATTCTAATTTCTCGCAGAATAGTACATGGCAGATGAGCAAAAAAAGGGTGCACTGAATATTCAGACACCAAGACTCGAACCTGGGATTGCCTCGTTAACTTTGAAACCAGGTTGGCTGTGAGTTCTAGAGTCCATGTTTCGCTATACCATGTCTGACCTAGGGCTGCCACCCGTGCCCGTAACGGGCACGGCCGTCGAATCCACGGCTTTTCGACGGCACGGGCCGTCTCGAAACGGCCCGTCAAGTGGCTGAAAAAATCCTCGACGGGACGGCACGGTCAACGGCACGGGCGTAACGGGTACACAGGTATGCTCGAAACTTTTTATGTTTGTTCCTTGGTCTGAATTCGATCCCTCGGCTCCTACGAGTTATATGATAACCTTGATGAGCTGTCAGACGTCGATCTCAGAAACTGGTGGAACTATAACCAATATCTTAGCGCTCAGAGAAGCATATGTACCCTCAAATATTCCAGGAATGGTGCTGAGAGCCTATAATGTTGCCTGGACCCCCTTAAAATGAATAATATTGGAGGAATCAGTGAACACATAAAGAAAGTTGACGGTGAAACGAACTTGAAAGTCCGCCATCACTCTCGGCAATTGCCGGTATTGCCGCAACTTGACTGCAGCTTGCAAGTTTGGAGGCAAGAAGTGTCAGAACACACAGAAGGCATGTTGAATGTGTGCCGGGGACACTTGAGACACGCTCCGTTCGAAATTATGCCTTCCCGATGACGGGAAAAAAACAAGCCGTTCCACGGCCGTGACGGCCGTCAAGGTGCAAACCCGTGCCGTACCCGTGCCGTTGAACTCTGGCAAAAATGGCCGACGGAACGGGCACGGCATCCGTGCCACGGGTGCCGTCGAACCGTGGCCACGGTCACGGGCGGCAGCCCTAGTCTGACCTATGCATACAGACTGGATCCGGATGCTCTACTTCCAGCTCAGGACTTGGGCTCGAGAGTAGTGAGGATGTGATGAGGATTACAATTGGTATTCGACCCTGAATTTTATGTGGAAGTTCAACGGCTGTGTCTCACAACCACATCTGATTTCTCAACTACCGCAATCCAACCCAAGGTGTTAACTGAGAGAAAAAATGGTAGACACTGCTACATTTAGATGCCGGGACCCGGACCCAGAGCTGCCTCGTAACTTTCTTTCTACATAGCACCCGCTCTCAGTCTTACGTACCACTCAAGGGTGCATAAAAACGAGTTACCACCCGTGCAGAGCATGTCTGCGTCGATTAGTGGTTAAATCACCTCGTGGTGGCCTTAAATCGGTGTCAGTAGCTATGCAATTAAACTTATACAATAATGAGAGAAATGCTCTCGAGAAGCCGGGTGTTCGACCCACCCGCGGACAGCCTCTTTGCGTCTGAGTGCTGCGCCTCCATGAACAGTGAAAGGAGAGCCGCTCAAATCGAGAGAAGAAAAAAAGCTTCAGCTATCCACAAACATTCAGAGGCCGGGAGTCGAACCCAGAACTACTTCCTAACCTTCGCCTGTGAACACAAGAAAGACCGTGGACCCGCTACACCACATCTGACTTCCTGCCCTTCACTCCTCTCCATGACTACCAACACCTTCACTCCTCTCCATAAGCAAAGAAAGTCGAGAACAACAAAAAACCGCCCCCCCATCCAGACACCAGGATTCGAACCCAGGGCTGCCTCCCAACTTTCATCTCCATAATGAAAAGGCCTTGTTCCCCACACCACATCTGATTTCATTCCTTCAATCCTCTCCATCAATACCGACAAGCAAAGAAAGTCGAGAGAGAGAAGAACTTCAGCTGTCTACGAACATTCAGACATCAGGAATCGAACCCGAGATTGCCTCCTAACCATTGGCTACGCGCTACATGCAGAGGCCGTGTTCCCTACACCACGTCTGATTCCCTAGGTTTCTTCCTCTCCGGTGTAAATACCCTCCCAACGCGTCACCGAGAGCAAAAAAGTCAAGTTCACTGGAGCACTCAGACGCCGGGACTTGAACCCGGATTGCCTCCTAATTCCATGCACAGCAGGACAGAGGCCGTGTTCCACTACACCTCATCTGAGTCCCTCCTCCTCTCCTCCCCGCTCACATACCCAAACCAAAGGACTTTCAAGTCCGAGAGCAAAAAAAAGCTGAAGCCAAACATTCAGACGCCGGGAGTCGAACCCGGAGCTGCTTCCGACTTTACTAGATTGCTGTCATGTAATTTGGAGAGGCCGTGTTCCCTACACCACATCCGAGTCCCTGTATATATCTTTTCCTCTCCTCCTGAGATACCCACCAGCGACGCTCAAAACAAATGGCCATGGAGTCGAGAAAGAAAAACACCCAGTGACCAATGCATTCAGACGCCGGGATTCGAACCCGAAATTGCCTACTAATTTGGCCATAGAAATTAAGCAGTATCAGAAGCCGTGTTCCGCTACACCACGTCCGTATTGGCATCAAGGATGCAGGGCGGAGTGAGTACAGTACATGCATACATACCAGTGCACAGAAAGCACGGGCCTTGTGGACCGCGAGCCGCGAACACCAAAGTAGAGGAGGCCAAAGCAAGGTGTAGCGACAGGTCCACCGAGTAGGTAAGTATGTATGTATGTAGCGCCCTAGGTAAGCAACAAGTTGTTGGGATTTGTGGGTTACGAGCTGTGCGAAGCTCGTCGGTATCCGAGGTGTGCACGGACCATGTTACGTACCCACGTTCTTATTGGCTGTTCTGGCGTGATGTGACCTTGACCGTTTGCCTCTGTACCACCACCATGTACATTAGAGGACAAACGCGCCCCCTTTGTTGCTGTTGACTTTGCCCCGCCCTCGCTTGTCACTTTAGCCTGGCATGGCTTATTCTAACACAAGTAAGGATAGCAAGTGAGATATAATACATCCGTGGAAATCCCGGTGTGATATGTAAGGTAGGTAGGTAGGCACGTCCGTGAATACAGCATGGCGTAGCGCGGCGAGTGAGTAAGGAAAGTGTACAAGGCGGAGGGAGGACACATGCATTGTACAGCACGCACGTACGAGGGGGAGGAGGTGCAATTTCAATAACACACCAGAGTCCGTGGCCCCAGCACGGCTCGACGGAACCAAGACGCACGGCAAGCGCGAGTGAATCCAATCCGCATCCGGATACGGCCTCCCACCCGTATATCAGCACCGTCATCCCGCGGCCGCCCGCCCGCAAGTATCCCAACCCCGCGAAGCCGCAGACCCGCTGACCCATAAGTAAACAAGACAACCCGCAGCGCCGGCGCTCCACGCCGCTCCATACCGCCCGCGCCACTACTCCAGCCGAGCAGCCCGCTACTCGAGCCCGAGCGCCCACGCGCTCTGCTGGCGCTCCTCCAGCTCGCGGATGCGCGCCTTCGTGCGCGCGACATTGACGTCCCTCCCCCCGCGCTCGAGCTGCGCTTGGGCCGCGCGCAGCTCGGCGGCGAGGTAGGCCTGGCGCGCGGCGGGCGAGCTCCCCGCGGCGGGCGGGGCCGCGGCGTCGGCGCCGAAGGCCGTGGGCCACGAGCCCTGCGCGGACGAGGGCGGGTAGTGCCCGAGGGGCACGGCGTCGCGCTCCGCCGCGGGGAGCTGCGTCTGCTGCCCGGCGTTTTGCGGGGTCGGGGCGGGGACGGGGAAGGGCTGCTTAGCCATGGGGGGGCCAGAGGCGGCACGGGCGGCGTCGAGGCGGCGGGTGCGGCGGCGGACGAAGAGCCAGCGGACGAAAAAGAGGGAGAAGAGGGCGACGACGACGGCGATGCAGACGCCCACGATGAGCCCCACGGGGGCCTTCCCTTGCTTGTCGGATTTGAGGTGCTTCGTCGGGTCGGGGCTGGGTTAACAGGTGAGTGCGATGGATGGATGGGAACGGGGAGGAGGGGCTGACCGGTGGGAGTGGCTTGTGGTGTCGACGGGGGCGGCGACGCCCGAGGTGGCGGTGGGGACGAGGGTGATGGAGCGCGGCTCAAGCGGCGCGGGGGTGGCGGCGGGCACGGCGGTGAGGAGGATGGCCATGGCGGCGGGGAGGTGTGCGTTGTCAACAACAATGAGAAGAGCTCATTAATACAATGTCTCGGCGCTGTCACCCCGTTCCTAATACGCGCAAACATCAACCCCGTCTGATGCATCGCGTGCAGATCTCGTTGCTGTCGACGTCGTCCGTTGGCGCCTCTCCGTGACTCTATTCGATCTACCGCGTTCTTGTTTGCCGCGTTCCTTTCTGCGTTTGGCGCCCGCTCAGGCTCTCCCGTCCTCAGCGCCTCTCGTTCACCTTCGAATCACGATTCTCCCGCCGGCTTGGCAGGCACGCACACTCCCACGCGCCTGCATACAGATATCCGGCGCACACGGCGCCGACATACCCATATATCTCCCTTCCTTTCATTCTCCATGCCAAATCCATTCTCATCCCAAATCCATTCTCCTTCCGATCCCGCAAATCACTCGGAGGCGCCGCTGCATGCAGACTGCCATCCGCTGTCCTGTGACCTGTCCACCCACGTCTCGGTATTCTATTGAATCAATACAATCTTGATCCTACCCCAGGTAAAGCAGGCTCTCCCCACGATTGCGGTATATGCTACTTACCCGGCGCCAGTGCCAAGCGTGTTAAGATGGCGCGGTCTTCGTCCTCAGGCCTAGGCAGCCATCGCCCAGACGACGCGTCGACGACCGCTGCAAAGACCTCCCACGCACGCCGGCGTCCCCCGACAAAAGTTTATTAATTTGATTAGTATTACCCAGTGCTGCATACAAGCCCACCTGAACCGTCCGCTCATTCACGGCATCATGCATCCCGCATCGCCACACCGCGTCCACATCCCGATCCCGCTCCCGCTCCCGCTCCCGCGCGCACATCCCGCATCCCCATCTCGCGGCTCACGACCCCTGAAATACCACCTAGTAGCGCACGGCCGCGCCCCCGCACCGTATGGAGTGGCTCATAATGGTGTAGCAGTGGGAGATCCTGGTTCGACTCCAGGCTGGGTCATACGCGAGCGTTTCTGGAAAACTTTTTCGCTCATCGCTGATTCTCGCTCACAGATCTACCGAAGTTCCGCAGTACAAGAATGAGACCCAGTAGCGGATGGTTCGCGCCCGCGTCGTGTGAGACAGGTACGGAATAGCTGCAGGAGCTCCTGGTTCGACTCCAGGCTGGGTCTTACTCCGTGGCGGTCCTTTTTCTCTCTTTCATCTATCGCTGATCATTGCGTAGCGCACTCCAAGAGGCTCACCACCGTAAGCACGAGACCCAGTGGCGGATAGTTCGCGCCCGCACCGTGTAAATGTGAATTCTGTCGAGTCTGGCAGCGGGAAGTCCTGGTTCGACTCCAGGCTGGGTCATAGTCCGGCGTTGAGAAGATTTTTTCTCCCTCCTTCATCTATCGCTGATTATTGCCTAGTGCACTCAACGAGGCTCAACACAAGATGGAGAAGACCCAGTAGCGGACGGTCCGCGCTCGCACCACCTTCGAGACCACCACTCTTTAGCAGCGTGAGCTCCTGGCTCGACTCCAGGCTGAGTCATATTTAATTCGAGTCGCGGCAACTTTTTTTTTTTTTGGGCTCTCAATGCTTGTTGGTTCCTGCGGACTGACTCTCACTCACCCATCTAGAGAGGCTCAGCAAAGGAGGGAGAAGACCCAGTAGCGGATGGTTCGCGCTCGCACCGTGTAAATTGTGGATGATATCGCAACGGGAGCTCCTGGTTCGACTCCAGGCTGGGTCATGGGCCCTTTCGACCGGTTGCTTTTCTCCCTCGTTCCTTAGCGTTCCATCGTTGATTCTCCCGGAGCCCACTCAGCGAGGTTCAATTCAGCATAAACGAGACCCAGTAGCCGATGGTTCGCGCCCGCGTCGTGTGCTGATATACACTGGTCGCATCAGCGGGAGTCCCTGGTTCGACTCCAGGCTGGGTCATAGCATATGTGGTCGCGGTCATCTTTTTTGCTTTTGGTTCATCGCCGCTTCTCCTGCATTCCATCTCACGAGGTTCAATTCAGCATAAACGAGACCCAGTGGCGGATAGTTCGCACCTGCGCCGTGTATGCACGTGCAATCACATCAGCGGCAGTCCTTGGTTCGACTCCAAGCGGGTCATGCTCTATGGCGATTGTCTTTTTTCTCTCTTTCATCTATCGCTGATCATTCCGGAGCCCACTCAACGAGGTTCAATACTGGAGGGCGAAGACCCAGTAGCGCACGGCCGCGCGCCCGCACCGTGTAAATTGTGGATGATATCGCAACGGGAGCTCCTCCAGGCTGGGTTATGGATCTTCCTCGGGTTAATTCTTTTTCATTCCACGTCGCACATCCCCCTGCAGCTCACCCAGGGAGGTTCAATTCAGCATAAAGGAGACCCAGTAGCGGACAGTTTGCGCCCGCACCGTATAGTAACAGTGTGCGGTAGATAAGCCAGCGGGTGGCCCTGGTTTGAATCCAGACTGGGTCATAATCCGGATTATTTCTCTCGTTTTCGTCCATCGCTGATGACCCCTTGCTTGAAGAGGCTCCGGAGTAGGGGAATGAGACCCAGTGGCGAATGGTTCGCGCCCGTATCGTTTAATATGCACGCTGGCGAGTTTAGCAGCGGGAGGTCCTGGTTCGACTCCGGGCTGGGTCATGCATCGTTCTTGGTTGACTTTTTGGCTCATCGCTGATTTTCGCTCACAGATCTACCGAAGTTCCGCAGTACAAGAACGGACCCAGTGGCGAATGGTTCGTGCACGCGCCGTACATGTGAATGCTAGCGAGTTTGGCAGCGTGAGTCCCTGGTTCGACTCCAGGCTGGGTCTTGGCCTGTAGCGATGGACCTTTTTCTCCCTCCTTCATCCATCGCTGACTATCCCGTAGCCCACTCGATGAGATTACAGACTAGAGGAATGAGACCCAGTGGCGGATGGTTCGCGCCCATACTCTGTGAAGACGTGGAGTGGAGTATCAGCGGGAGGTTCTGGTTCGACTCCAGGCTGGGTCATAGTCCGGCGTTGAGAAGATTTTTTCTCCCTCCTTCATCTATCGCTGACTATCCCGTAGCGCACTCCAAGAGGCTCAACACCGTAGGAACGAGACCCAGTGGCGAATGGTTCGCGCCCGCACCGTATGACAAGAGTGTGCAATAAGCCAGCGGGACGTCCTGGTTCGACTCCAGGCTGAGTCTTGCGCATGCGCCGTGGCGATGGTCTTTCATCTATTGCTGATCATCACGTAGCGCACTCAACGAGGCTCAACACCGTAGGCATGAGCCCCAGTAGTGGACGGTGCCGCCCCCGTGGCGTTTAGGGGAAGAATAATCCTGCCCATCAGCGGGAGATCCTGGTTCGACTCCAGGCTGGGTCATGTCAGTGTTGGTAGCTTCCTTTTTGCAGTAATTCATCGCTGATTCTCCCGTAGCCCATTCGGCAACCAGAATGAGAGCCATAAGCCCACTTGGAGAGGCTTCGAACTAGAGAGAGGAGACCCAGTGGCGGAAGGTCCGCACCCGCACCGTATGAGAGAAATATGCAATAAGCCGGCGGGAGGTCCTGGTTCGACCCCAAGCTGGGTCATGAGCGATTGGAGTCACGGCGGTTTTTTTTTTTGGCTGTTAGGCTTGTTACAATTGGTTCCCGCGAGCTGAGTCTCACTTGCCCATCTAGCGAGGCTCAACGCAGTAGGAATGAGACCCAGTGGCGGAGGGTCCGCACCCCACCGATAGTAACAAAGTCCAGAGTATCTGCGGGAGATCCTGGTTCGATTCCAGGCTGGGTCATGGCTTTGCATAGCGGCGACTTTTTTTGGCTGTCATCTTTTTTGCCTTTGGTTCATCCCCGATTATCCCTAACCTGTTTACAGAGGCTCCGGAGTAGGGGAATGAGACCCAGTGGCGAATGGTTCGCGCCCACACTCTGTGAAGACGTGGAGTGGAGTAGCAGTGGGTAGCCCTGGTTCGATTCCAGGCTGGGTCGTGGCTAGCTGAGCTTTCAGTGCCTTTTCGGACCCCTCGGATTGTTCCGCACTCCTCCAACACCAATGCTACTTGTGCGGCAGAGGATCACGACTTCGTCTAAGACGGTTCCACAGATCTCGCCTAACGAGAGTCGACACCGCAGGACTCCCTTTTAGAGCGGTGATGTAGCAGATCACCTCCTAGCCCACTCGAAGACGTTCCAGAATAGGGGAATGAGACCCCGTAGCGGAAGGTTCGCACCCGCGCCCAGTAAGTCGGTTATCATCGTGAGGCAGCAACGGGAGGTCCTGGTTCGACTCCAGGATGGGTCATACCTCGTGCAGCGACATTTTTCATCTCTTTGGTCCATCGCTGATCATCCCGCAGCCCATCTAATGAGGTTCAACACAGTATGAGCGAGACCCAGTGGCAGATGGTCCGCGCCCATACTCTGTGAAGACGTGGAGTGGAGTATCAGCGGGAGGTCCTGGTTCGACTCCAGGCTGGGTCATAGTCCGGTGGTGAGAAGATTTTTTCTCCCTCCTTCATCTATCCCATAGCGCACTCCAAGACGTGCCGGAGTA